GAACCCGCGGGCTCAGGCAATCCACTCACCTCAGCCTCCCAAAGGCGCGGGATTACAGGCTGAGCCACCGAGCCCAGCTATTATTTTATTTTTAACATGTGGGGTACTTTTTATGAGAGAGTTCATTTCCTCTCAAGTCTTTAATGATTGCCTGCTCACCATTATCTCCCATCTGGGACTATCCATCCCATGGGTCAATAGTGTCACCTTCACCTTCACCCCCCCATATCTTCTAATCTATCTCAATATTTTTACCTTAACCTTTACATCCACAACCTCACTGTAAAGAGACCTAAGAAAACAACTAGTCCTCCCTGCCCTCCCTACTTTGTTGTCGTTGTTGAAGTTGCAGAATCTGACATCAGAGAGGGAAAAAGACTTGCCCAGGATCACACAGTCACTAAGTCAGGACTAAATTCTAGGTCCCTGAGTCTGGGACAATATAGAATAGTGTATTGAGGGGCCAGGGGCAGACTACCCAGCTCTGCCACTTGACCTTGACCTTGGGCAAGTCACTTAACCTCTCTGTGCCCCACTCCTCCCCTGAAAGTCTAGATGATACAAGTATGTGTCTCATAGGACCGTTGTGAAGGTTAAAGAACTCAATATTCACAGAGTACTTTGCACAGAGGCTGGCACATTCTGTACTAGGTGTTTGCTGTGATTATTTCTACTATGCCCTGGTCTGCACACTTCCTGCCTTTTTAAACATCTTCCCTCTTTTTTCTTAATTCCTATTCTCCTTAGCATTCCTCTCATTTGCCTGGCTTTAATCCCTGTCTCTGTTTTTCAAGAGGGGAGGGTTGGGTTTTGGGAAAAAGAAAGAGGGAGCGACTGTAGAGACCAAAACATGCTTGACAGCCAGTGCCTGCCATGGTAACACAAACACATGGCCTGAGCATGTTAGTTTAACAATCACATCTCATCTATGTGAGTCAGATGCACACAGATTCACTCAGCAGTCTCTGGGTGTCACAGACCCACACTCAATCAACCCAGGCCCCCTGGCTTCCGAATCACCCCTTTGGAGTGGAGTCCATGCCCAAAGCTACCCAGGCAACTCTTTCTCTCTGGCCAGTTTGCATCTCCGACTTCCTCAAACCCTGGCACCAGTCCAGGAAGCCTGAGTGAAGTGGGCACTTTCTGGAGGGGTTTTGATCCAGAACCACTCAGGAGAGACTCTGACGGACTTTCCATGTGCGCGCACACACATACACTGACACACACGTGCACATGAGCCCATGGGCTTGAGTCTGCAACTCACAAACTTCTTCCACATTCACAACTGTCCATCTCACCCAAAGTCCGGCGAGATGGCTAGAGAAAGGGCAGTTACCCATTTTACAGACGCGGAAGCTGAGGCCAGCGAAGAGTAGTGCTTTGCTCAAAGGCGAGGATGCGGTGAAGCGGAGCGAAAGCAGGGCCCCGGCATCCCGTCCTGGAGTCCTTCTCTGTTTCACCGTAGCTGCGAGCTGCGAGCCCAGAAGTCGGCTCAGATCAACACGGGTTGAAGTCACATCCACCCCCAACCACCCTACCGGGTCCCGCCAAAGCCACGCCTCCCCTTTGGCGGCCGCCGGGGAAAAGGGAGAGAACGGCCATAGCTTGTCTCTTTAACGCGCGCCCCCGAGGGCCGGCGCGCCCCCGCCACTATAACTGGAGTGCATGGAGCGGGCTGCGCTCAGAGCGAGAAGGGCGGCCGCTGGGCACCCGTGGACCGACTTTTCCAAGTGCGATCTGCTGCGCCCGTCCGTCCCGCCTCCATGGACCCGGCCGGGGACAACCACCGCTGAGGACCCCGCGCCCGCTGGGACCCGGGCTGCGTCGCATTCAGCGACCGCACCGTGACCCCCGCGGGCTGTGCCGGCTCCCCGCGTCTTCCCGCCGCGCTCGCCGTCGGGCGAGGGCTCCGCCGCCGCCACGCCTCGCGCCCCGCGCCACACGCCGCATGCTGGTGCACACTTTCTCCGCCATGGTGAGTAGTCTCGCGTCCCGGGGCGCGGGGGCACACTCGGCCGCGGGATCGAGGGGCCTGAGTGCCGGCCCTCCAACCCTCCTGCCCCGCACTAACGAAATCTCGGAGGGAGGGGGCCCCCGGGACTCCGCCAGCTGAGAAGGCGGTGCCCAGGAAGCCGCTGTCACCAGCCTGAGGCTCCTGCGCCCGCGGGCCACTCGGAGATGGAACTCGGGCCCCAGAAAGCGGGAAGGACGGCGCCTGGAACCTCGCGAGCGGCGGAGGATGTTTTCCGGCTGGGGTCCGTTCAGCTGCCAGCTGATCACCTAACGCGCCCCTCTCCGTCCCCAGGAGCGCCCCGACGGGCTGG